TGTACGATGGCCTTGCGGGGCTTAAATTATATGTTTCTTGTTTTATAAGAACATCCTGATGACCGTAGTAAAGTATGAAAAAACTGGGGTTGACCAAGTAATTGCTCAGAATTATTACCTATGCTGTTATAAAAGTAAACAATGCTGTTATGGGACACTTTTCAATCCTAAGAACTGAACTGAAACGGCTACTCTAAAAAACGATCGTAGGTAAAACATTTTACAATCTTCGTCATCTATTCATATCCTTACACGTGACATGTATAACGTTCTAATTAGATAATATTTATGCATGAGCTGAAGTTTATGCTTGACAAGGTTCAGAACGTGCCAAGGGGTGAGTGGTGGAGGGTGGCGGGGCGATGCAGCAAACTTGCATGTCTCGTCAAGACGATTTCAGGGTACGAATTTACTTTCACCACTTGGTTATGGAATCGATGTTTTCAATGCGATTGCTCCATAATGGGTATTTTGCTATTGTAAAATAATAATCGTTTTTACCATATTATTTATGTAACTTCTCATGAATGTTTAACCTATTTTCGCAAGGAAATATTTTTAAAGTGGGTAAAAACTTTTTGGCCTTTTAACTATATTGAGCAGATAGTATAAACTTCAACAAATGAGGAAACACGTCATATTATAAACGAAGGAGACATTGTGGAATAGCGTAATAGAATTTGCCGCCATCTAGGAGTTCAAATCCAACCATTTATCCATTTGGGAATAAAAGACCAACGAGCATCATTTGTTGAATCTGTATTCACAGGGGTGTAAGGTACAGTACTATTTTGATACGAAGAATAATTTTATATTTATCATTTATTCAAGTTCAGCCACATATAGAAGGTAATTAATCAAGCTAATTATAAGATATCTCACAATCTATGAGATATATCTTATAATAAGTTTGATAATTTTACAAATTCCTTATAAATGCACAATCATTTTCGATAAATGGTTAAATTTGTTTGCACAATTCCTATTCAATGCTTCGCAGACTCGTTTCTAACTTATTTAGAAACATTCTTTATGAAATTTTAGGTTACATGTGTTATTCGGAATACTATGTTCATGTTTAATTAGTGGGCTACATATACGAGGGGTGTTCAATAAAGACTGACAGTAGCGAACATGTAGACAAACGAAGTACAATAATTAGCTTTTTTCAAGTTGGTATAAAACATTGAAGTATTGGCAACATACCAAATCAGCTGTTAACCTTATGGCATACGTACTGTTGTCAAGGCAACCGATAAATATACAGCTGCAAATTTTTGTCTCCAAAGTTTACTACGGCAGATTTTTGTGAGCAAAGATATGCAATAACGTTTTGTGTAAAACTGAGGAAAAATGCTACAGATACTTACAGCGACTTAGAAAATTGCTTTTGGGAGTGATAAAACGAGTGAAAGAACCTGTTTCAGGTAACATAACGACCTTTAAAATGGATGGGAATCATGTGAGTTGGAAGCTATTACGTTCTTTGATTATGGAGGTATGTTGTATACCCATACTGTACCACAGGGTCAGACAATTAATGAGGGGGGGGGGGTACTACATTTTAGTAAAGTTTCCCAACTGCTAGAACGGCTGTTAAGGCTTTAGAGGATATTTTGAAGGTTCTGTCTAAGGAGGGCTTTGAACACGTCTTCAAGGAGTGGCAGAGGCGCTGGAACAGTTAGTGGTTTGGCTTTGAATTGCGACTACTTAGAAGGAGATACAAATGTTAAAGTCTAAACTTTTATATTAAAGGTATTGAAAGAGTACTGTCAGTCTTCATTGAACACCCCTCGTATATACAGTAGTAAAACAATAGTTATTTTTTCATTAAAATAATGTTTAAAATTATTTTTATATTATTTAGGTGGTTGAAAGTCAACTCTAGTGTACGTTTTCACCGTAATGTAAGTTCGCATTTTATGTCTACCTTTTCCAAAATTAGTAATATGGACCGATAATAATTAGTAAATGGTAATATGGACTGAAGATAAGCGTGTAAACAAATTCAGGTAGCATGAAATCGTTAATAACAGGGTGTTTTTATCTTAAAGAAATCAAGGTTCATTCAAAATTGTTATTTGCAAACAGTGTTTAGAATGCATTTACAGTATCTGCATAACTTTCAGCCAATTATATTTTTGTTAATTTTGTCCTGATTAGGTTTACCGATTTTAGTTTTCTTCACAATTTATGGTGAAATATTTCATATTTCTTGCTAGTGGCTTTTATCTTGTAAGCAGTTAAGTGGCATTTGCAAATCACAACTACCTAGACTAAATATGCGCGTTTAAGTGGCATATTTCTTGATGTCGAGGAAACGTTGAAGACTCTTTGGATTGTATTTTTAAAGGGTGGGTACCTCTTTTAGCTAATTTACCACATTGGGACTAAGCTACTATATGTATTACCGTAGGTCTCATGGCAAGACCTGGGGCTCGGGACCGATTTTTTTTCGTTTTGATGTCCCCAGGGCCAAAATCATTATCCTTTCAAATGCACAGATATTACCAAATAAACAACTTTGAAATATTTGGCTATATATGTATACATTTATGTGTCTGTCCGTTAGCACGATCATTTAGGCAAAAATCAATTTCGACGAATTTTGTACAAACTTGAACGTATGTTTATTCGATCGAGTTCGTGAACCAGTATGATCCCCAAATTGGGGTCCCCTCAAAGAATTAAATTTTCCTATCCCTCTCCAAACTATTTTGATGAATTTAATAACAAATAATTTAGTATATTGTAGTGTAAATTTCCTTTTTTACGGAGAAAATTAAAAAATTCTGAATTTAAAATTTCCATGTCATTTCTATGGAGAATAAGCAAACGTTGTAGTTTGCTTGTTTATGGATATATTTTGATCACACTTGGCAAATGTAATTAACAGATTTTATACTAAGCTATTAATATTTTACTAAAACACACTTTATTAGCGTCCCTGTAGCAGCAAACTTAGGTACTCGTTAAACCTAATGTTTTTTTAAATAGATTTAATTGAAACTCAAATCAAGCTAATGGAAATTCGCTTAGTCTGCAGGTTTTCTGCGGCGAGGGTATTTTTTGGACACTGGCCCGTCCTTGGGAATGTGCGTGGAACGTATCAAACAAATCAGAAGGGGTGAGCCGGTATATTACAAGAGAGAAATCTACCAATTAAAGTGGCAGGTACCAGGATTCGAATCCACGACGTCGCCCGTCGTGGGCTCATTCTGGTAGTCTATAATTTTCTACATAACCCCAAGGCGTTTTCCGAAAATCGCACTCCTTAACCTTCAAAAAACGCCCTACTTTCAAAATTTGGTAAATTTCTTTCAAATGTTTACCAGTTTTCACTACTTTTTCATACTTAAATAATTTCTTTTCGCAAACATTATTATTGCTTTGTATTTTCCTTACTTAACTTAAAATTTTACACATTACATGTTTTTTCGTTACATTTCTCCTTGACCCCTAAAACTTAATTTTAATGTCAAAATTTGAAAGTTTTTACGAGCCCCGTGTCATTCTTATAGGGAATAACATTGGAATTTGATGACTTTGTTATGGTCATCTGAATCGTTTAGAAACGTGCTAGAGACTTGTAATTTGGTAGTATTGTAGTATGGGATCCTAAGTTAAGGGTAATATTTACAACCCCCCCCCCCCCCCCCGAAATATTAAATCCTCCCTCCCCCCCAATGTTATTCTTACAGGTGTATAAGTCTAAATCACGATTACCCATTTCTAGATTAACTGGATGTCTGAAATTTGGCACGATTGTAGGTCTTGCACCATGGCCTATTTGTATTTACCCCCAACCAAAAGCCAAAGGCGAGTTTTATATCTATGCTCACACTGAGTAGCAAGGCACGGATGTTTTCACTAAAGTACCCCCGCCAACCCCCACGCTAAGACCCGATCAGCTCTGGGGTCTGATTGAGCCCACAGACATGTTGGCCAATCTGTACATTAACTCGTTCCTCATTACCGTCGCTTTTAAATTGCACATAAATTAATACATTTAAATTCGTTATAATATTTTAATAATAAATTTTAAACGTCCATTACTGTATATTGTATTTACACTTCAATATTCTTTTTCCTGCTGTCACCCGACAATATACTGTACTTGTACTGTTTATAGTACAGATAGTTGCTAATTGCTGCATTTATACTTTGTCGAGCGGTTTATACTTTTTCGTACTGTTTATAATTTGGCGCACATCAGGATTCCAAAAATGATGCACGTAATCCGTGTACTCTTGGAAATAGGTTGGCAACACTTAAAGATAATAATACTATGATCAGCTGATTGACTATTATAACTACGATTTAACATGTCATTTCGTGTTTATAGTTCATGTTCTATTTTCGTTCAACGCTTGGTTTGAACACAACCTGAAGTGTAGTATTTGAAAGATTAATTATAAGTGGGCCTAACATGTTTGAAAATAATGAAAATATAATGGTAGACCAGAAATAGCAGAAACTGAAAACATGTTTCATTAAACCTGTTACCTGAAAAATCAAGAAAGAAGTGTGAACGATCATACAAACTTTTTTCCTCTTGGCGCGTAAGTAAGATAGTTACAAAACTGTTAGAAAATGTTTTATTGCCATATTTTGAAGAACAATCTACTAGTTTATTATGTGTTTCTACTGATTATTACTCTTGAAAATAAGTAACACTTAATTCTACGACTACAATCAGCTGGTGCAGTATTTCCCTTCCGTTCATGGCTTGGGTTTAACTTAACCTAAAAACGTGTTGTATAGTGTTTGAAAGACTAACTATTTATATGCTTTATAGTGACTGTAGGGAAAATATAATTTGTAACACGAGTGCAAAAGGCCTTTGCTGCACTCGAGATCATTCCGCACTTTACGAGCCGCGCTAGTGTGCGGCAAAGTGCCACTTTGCTCACTAGTTACACAAATAACTATTTTCCAAACCTAAAATCATCTCATATTTTATCTTAGGGGTGAAACATTATTCTTTCTGGATGTTTCAGATTCGAGAATGGAAGGTCCGACAAGGAAATTTTAGACAATTTGTTGAAACAGACGAGATACGACAAGCGCCTGCTACCCCCAGTTACAGGTACATAGTTCCTCCTAACGGTCTTTCTAAATGTTTTGAAGCACTAATATTCCAAGGGTTTGCAAAGCATTCATACAAACTTCTAAAGTTCTTAATTTCTATTTATAATGATAGCTCTAGTGTAACCCAAACAGGGCATCCGCATTTACAAAATTAAGATAATGTGTTTCTACACGTTATCTTAGCATAATGGAATTCTGTTATCTAAAGGCTTCTATGCCAGGAAATAATTTTTGTAACATTTTTATGATTGTTTGTATATTGATTCGTGGTAACAGTGATAGGCTAGAACAATATAAACTGTAGAAACTGGAGGATTATTTAAACAAAGAATTTATTCTTATGTGCAACCAGGTTTGTCATGATTAGTTTCAACTACCGCTTCTTTTAAATCTTTATTACTTAAACAAATATGTGATTTTCTTAAGCCTGTCTCTGTCATATTATCTGATTTGAATTACATTACCTGTTGTGTGCTTGTTGTGTACAGTCCGAGTGCGAATTGTGATGTTTGTTTATTCTTAAGCATTTATACTCTTTGCTCTTTGTGCCCTTACTCCCATGTTCGGAATCTGCCTGCTTTTATCCATAAACATTCTTTTATACCCTGAAACAAATATTAAACTAGAATGTTCAACCAACCAAACTAACCTCGTTGTGTATTCAAAAATATAATTCCTCAATCCTCTTAACACTTTCCTTGTAACTCTTGTAAAATATCAAATATTAAATCCATATAAAATTTGTAAAGTCGAAAAATATCGTGCATTATTTCTTTCCAAGTGATGGAACTCTATTCAATGATACTTCCTATCTTCAGATTTTGTGAGAAAGTCCACATAGTTCTTGTCTAAGGAATTCACGCGCAAAGCATTCTACGCCTTGTTACTTTTTACACGATTATATTTCTAACTTTATTATTAGCAAATTCCAATTTTTTTATCATCGAATAAAGAGTATACCCTCTATTCTGTGTTTTAACATATTTGGGATATAGATATATGTAGGTCGTATAATAGTCTCAGAAATGCCTAAATTATAAATATATTTGTTAGTTTGTCACCTCACCCAGCGAGTGAAAAATATGAACAATATTTCTTTAGGGTTTGACCTTGTATAAAATGTTAAAATTTTATAATAAATAAGAAGTTTAACTTTTTATAAAAAATAAAATTTCATGACAAAATGTATACTAAAAATGGATACATAAACATTTATTTCAAAGTCTATTTTGGTTGTTATTAGAGAACAATCAGGTTTATTCAGCTAGGATTATAAATGTTTTAAATCATTCTTGTATTCTTCATAGTTTATACTTTAGGACAAACACGTTTCCCAAACTCGACGAGGTAACATGGAACTAAAGGTTCCTTAACTTAGTAAAAAGGTATACTCATTTTGTAATCGATTTTCAAGACTTTTACAATTTCAAGCAGTATCGTTTGCAAACACCAGTTGCATAAGTCAACTAATATCGGGATCACTACACCAACGACGGGTGGTTCACGAATATCGGATGGTTTTAAAACAGCTGTTACTCAGCTGTTATTCGTAAAATGTTTATGTTGTAGTAAACGACAACACATGATTATGGTATTTTATTACTCATTGAACAGTACAACATCGTGCGTTTTGCTTGAAGCCTATTCATTTAAGAAATAACGAGTATGCGATTAGGCCTAATACTCAGCGGTTGTTTTAAATTAACATCAATGACCGTCGTCATTGTGTGGTTTCCTCTAGGAGTACCATCTTGAATTGGGTGTTTAATTTAGGGGCTGCACTTTACTTTAGGTCCTACACTCATTCGAATGAAAATATCGATTATTCGATTGTTTCATTCGATATATCGTTTGGTTAGTTAGGTTAGGTTAACCTTACCTAACTAACTAAACGATATAACTTGTCGAATAATCGATATATCGATCGATATTTTCATTCGAATGAGTGTAGGACCTAAAGTAAAGTGCAGCCAATTTAGGACCTAAGGGACCCGACTTGAAGAATAAACCTCCTCAAGTTACAGAGGAGCACATTGCAAGAGAACGAGAATCCGTCCCCCAAAGTCCAAAAAATAATGTATTTTACATTTTTAATTAAATGTTCAATCGTTCAAACAGGTCGTTGGACAGAAGCTCAATCCTGGTGACCCTAGATTACGTCATAATTAGTCAAAGAATCTTGCAGATTATTCAAGTTGAAAACCTTCTCGGGCGTCTGGTCTGACGGAGCTCATCTTATAACTATTCGTATTTACATTGGTGAACTCGCAGGTTTAAATAATTTATTAGCTTTTTTTAATTCTTGCCGATCTAAAATTATTCCAAATGTACCTAGGCATGTCTTAGAATGGTTTTCGTTTATAAAATTCTCTATTTTGTCTGTTTTCGTAATTGACGTGTTAAATTTAACTTTGAATAAGATCACCATTCAACGCATTAAACATGTAAAATACTAGGTTACAGTTAACTTTTAAAAATTCCCGTTGGATAATTTTCATTAAATAAATGCAAACTTTATTTATGATACTGTACTATTTAAAATTATATGAAATTGTCTTCTGATCACACGGAACACACTTTTACCTATACCTACTGGCCTATGTTAAACTACAACTGTGTTTTACCTATGTTAAACTGGCATGTACCGTTGGAAGTATAAATAAATTTTTAAAATCCCCACTTGATTAGTATCTTATTCAGTAAACACTCTTCTATATAACTATTTCAATGTAGGGTTTCTCTCTTTAAAAAAAGATCACTTCCAGTATTACTTGAAATTATATAGTTTTATAAGGTATTATATATGTGTGGTTATTCAAATTATACAATGACATTTTTTATAACATACGTTAAAATAGTAAGAAAATACTTAAAAATAACATGTCGAAGCAGGCAGGTCCGAACTCTGAACTCCACTTATGTATGAATAACCATGCAGATGGCCTTTAAATTTAATAAATGGGACTTTGCAAGCATTTTGCTCATATTAAAATTAAAAATCTTATTCTCTTTCTCAAAATATGAAGTTTGATTTGAGGTTTACTCAGCATGTGATTAGGTAGATCTAGAGTTAGTTCTGCCAAAGAACGTTTTTAAGGTTACTAAACAAAATTGTAATAGGATATCACGTATTTTATTAGTGTAAACCATTTTTGCTACAATATACCCTATATATGCAATTTAATTTTTTCTTACAAAGTTGTGTAGACTAGGTCATCAAGCTTATTTTTTTGAGTTGAACAGATTTATACATTTTGGAAACTATGCATAACGTTTTAAAATAGTTTTTTTGTAAATTTATTTTGTAACTGATCTCTTTTATGAATATCTCATGTAATATGTCATATTTAATATGTATTAACTTAACGTAAGGTATAGGGATATTGTCTGTGTCTTATTTAAAGTAACAAATTATAGTTTTTCCTTGCAAAGTCTAGCTCAAGTAAAACACTTAGCGAAACAATCTTATTTCGAAAAATTTCAAACAATTCTGACATGATGAAATGTGGGTTGTGTGGAGTTGACATGAATCGGTTGTTTTGATGAATAGTCATTGGATGTATCTTCTGCTGTGATGTGTGTGCAGTCATTGATTTGTCCAGTTTTACATTGTAACTTATATAGAGTTCTTTGGTAGAACATGCGTGCGGTATGGTATGGTTGTCGTTGCGTTGCAGTGGGATGGTGTGATGGTGAGAGGGGTGAGAGGGTGATATGGTGAGATGGTAATATGGTGAGATGGGAGTGGTGGCTGTATGGTGGGCTGTGTTACAGATGAAGACTTCTGTTGTGGCATGACCTCCCCTTCGAGTCGCCGCACTCTAGATCCTAAGAGAATCTCCAATCGGGGTCGGTTCCTACTTCATCTATTCCATTATTCCCTCTTCAATCGATGTTTTAACTTTATCGTTTTCTGTCTTCCTTATCTGTCAATGATGTTTGTATTAGCCGTCTTCCGTGTCTGCTACCCTCCCACATTCTTCTATCCACGTTTTACAATTTATTTAGCACTAAGGTTTGCGTTAGAAGATCATCCTTTACACACCCATTCAATGTAAATGAAAATGAATTTCATTCGTCAGACAATACAATAAAAAATTTTGTCACACATTTTTAACGCTTAACTTTATTTTATTTCACAGACTGCTTGGTATTTTTATAAATGTTCTGAAAATTTATTGCTTCTTTTACGTGCAATAATTATTCATAATAACAAGTTAGAAACATTTAGTATGTTTTCATTCTCTCATTAAGTAACTAACTATGGATAAGTAGATGAATCAATATTATTTGTACGTCTGTAAATTAGTTACGGATCGCTTCTACCAGCATAGATATGCTCAGCTTCAAGTTTTTTACGTATTATACTAATCATATTATGGTAAAACGATTTTCAAGAAATTTTTATTCATAATTTCAATTTATTTGATCGGTAATAGTATTAACCCAAATATTTGAAATCTTAGTCCATATTTAGCTGCTCAAATTGGTTCATTGTTAATCCCAACATCATATGAACAAACTAAATCTCATCATCACCTATAATTTTGACAGTAAAAGAAACATGTTGCCTACACTTAATCACACGACAAAAGAGAGGCAGAATTTCAAAAAGTGATCATATCCCCTGAATCATAATGTAATCTAAAAAATAAACTGGTGTATACTATTTTTAAACTTATTCGAGGAGCACATGATAAGTATTTTATGTTTAAGCTTACTAGAGTTCATTCCTTGGTTTTAATTGGTTGGTTGTATTTAATTCACTGTACTGAAGTGTGCGGACTCAAATTATGACTAAAATCTATTATAGCTATTTGGTACATGATGGTTTGTACCCACAGATACCCTTTTTAAATTCTTTACTGACTTAAATAATCAATCATCCCATATACGGTTTGTTAATTCTTGGACTTTTGGAAATTTTTCAATTAATTTCGATCAGGAACTGACCATTGTTTAATCAATCCTTGTTTCTATATAATTCTTTTTGAGCAT